GGCAATCCAGTGTTTTCCTCTGGCCTCCATGAAACCCACACACATATGGAATACACTCACACAGACACATGTGTACACATAAATGAAATAAATACGACTTTAAAAGGGAAAAGGTCCTCACATTGGGCTTTGCAGTTGTGTGGTTTATTTCATATGACTTTGTCCAGAATTTAAAAAAAAAAAAAAATAAGAGTACTTCCAAGGCCTGGAGAGACGGCTCAGCAGTTACACCACTTGAAGCTCTTGCAGAGGACCTAGGTTCAGTTCCAAGTCAGGCAGCTCACAACTACCTAGAAATCCATTTCCAAGGGATCCAATACCCTCTTCTGGCCTGTACACACGTGTTACACATAAAGTCATGCAGGTGCACACAGATGATGATGATAGATAGATAGATAGATAGATAGATAGATAGATAGATGTTAGATAACAGGTGACAGATGTATCTCAAACTAATTATTAAACAATTATTAAATACGAAAATTATTTAAATTATAATAGGAATTTCCACTTTACAACAAAGTTCTCATGAGCTGGAATGTGATTGCTCATACCTGCAGTCCCAACAATCAGGAGTAGAGGCAGGAAGATTGCCTGAAAATTTAGGGGTCCCTGGGCTCTGCAGTGATGTTGAGGTCAGCCTGGATTACATAGTAAAGTTTCCGGCTGCAAGGGCCATACAAGCAGGATTCAGCCAAGATAAAGACATGTGTATATACACAAACAAACAAACAACAGACTGCTCTCCAGCCCAGAAGGGTCTCTTCAGCTCGGCTGCAGCATTGTCCTCCAGCTCAACACGGGGCTGAGGTGAGCTGTTGTCTTGTGCAGGCTCCCCAGCAATGGAGCCATTGGCGTCTCATGTGACCTCTACAGGGGCAGACCTGTAAGCTGTGGGATGCTTAGTAACACCTCAGCCTCTGAGATATCATTTATAACAGCCACAGATGTCCTGGACACTGCCCCTTGTTGGAGAGGGGAGCTGCATCACATGTCTCGCAAGCCACGGCTTTATTGACTTGCAGAGCCTGCCCCATCGCTGGAGATGTCACCATTTAGCTGGGACATGCTGTCAAGTGTACCAGCTGCTCAACCATGGCTTCCTAGGAGAAGCAACTTCTCCTCCAGCCTGTAGTCCAGGTGACTAGCTTGCCCTTAGCCAGTGTGTGTGTATGTGTGTGTTGGAAAGCATGTAAGGGAGATACACAAAAAAACATATAAAATACACAAAAAGATTTCAGATCTGAATCTGAAAGTGTCCCCACGTGTGGCCTTTGTCGACAGAGGATGCACTTGGACTGAAGGGCTGAGCGGGCAGAGAGGAGTGACCTAAATACCACCAGATGAGATTTCTGGGGACCAGTTGACAGAAATCCTACCTACTGAGCCAAACAGGGATGTGGAGATCTACTCCAAATTACCCCCAACTTGACATCCACCCCTTCCTGAGAGCATACACAGAGGGCACCGCACTGCTTCCGGGTCCTTTTGGGAGACAGCCCCAGTTCCCTTGTGGCTGTGGCTATCACCCACACTGTAGGCATTCACTATGACCTGGGGCCTGCAGCCCAGCAGGAGTCTACAAACACCTCGGTGTCAGGGAGGAGTGGTGAGGGGAAGCTGGCAGACAGAGGGAGTCCTGGGTAGAAACTGATCTCTCTTGTCACCACAAGAGGATATGCCACTCCACAGATAAGGATGAGAGGCGGGGTACAAAACAGAGAGCTCAGGAATCCCAGAGAGCCAAAGAGATTTGTGACCACTGTCCAGTGGCTCCAAGTCCCTAATAAGAGTTCAAGCATCAAGTTATCCATACTTCCCAGATGCTGTAAACTCCCCCTACCGCAAAAGTGTGCTTTGGGACGACCTACTTGAAGAATGAAAAGGCTGATCAAGCACAAGAGAGCAAGCTGAAGTCCAGCACCAAAGAGCCCATGGACAGCCAGCATAGAGCGGTAACCATGCAAGCGTTGAGCAGAGTCTGGCAGGCCCCTGCAAGTGCCATCAGCCTAGATTAGAGATAGGCAGGGCTAGGTAGAGACTATACAGTTAATCATAGTGCTTACTCCTTTGGTCTTGGTACATCTTCCTGCTCTGCTCCCCTGGGACAATGACAACTCTAAGAAATAGCCCTATCTGCCATAAACTCCTCATGGGCTTCCTATGCCACCCCTAGAGGTCTACCTAGAAAGTGGGGCTTTGTTGGGGACTGCAGACCCTCAGACCCTGAATTTTCTATCACCCCTTTACTCTGCTGGAGTAAACAACTTGTTTTCCTATGCTTGCAACTTCTCTGAGCACGAGACCCTCATGAATTCCTGATAACAAGGAAGTGGTTTCTGGAGGACTTACAGCTGAAAAATCCCGAGAGCTAGGGTGTGGCCATTAGTCAAGGAGAGGACTATATAAGCTGCCCTCGAACATAATAAAATTGGCATTCAAGAGTGACCCGTGTCTCTGTGTGTTTTTTAATCCCCAGACCCTTGCCCGGTCACAGTTCCAGGTGGTACAGGTGCCACAGGGCTTCCTAAGATGAGCAAGGCAGGGGCATAGGCTAGAGTCCAGTGAGGGCAGGGGCATAGGCTAGAGTCCAGTGAGGAGCAGCAACGGGCAGCAGCCACTCTCCCGGGATGAGACTCACTGTGGACAGTACCCCGAGGAGGGCTAGGCCTGCTCTGAGTTTTTCCTGGAGCCTCTTTAGCTCCCCCTAACATCTCATTTTAGAAAACCTGGACCACTTTGTAACCTGGCTGATGGTCCTCTTCAATCTGACTCTCAGTATCAGGCTTGGTATATCTCACCCGAGCCCCCTTTTTTTCCTTCTGGATGAGCCATAAGTCCCTAGGGTTTTCAAAACTACCCTTGTCATCCAAATACCAAGGAGCCTCTCTGATCTGGTGGGGCTCCCTCAGAACACCCATCTCCAGCTACCGTCAGACACCTCATCTAGACGTCTCATGAACAGCTCAGCCTGTTTGTCCAGGAGATCTCTTCATACCCATCCCAACCTCCCACCCTTGCCTGGCGACAGCTCACTGCTCTCCCATTCAATCCATTATCAGTCCTGTCATTTCTTCAGCTGGAACCTAGCACCTTTTCTCCACATATTAACCACAACCTAAAATTATCTCACTTGTGGCTGTCTATGTTTTTGTTCTTAAACTACTTAAAATCAGAGAGGGCTATATTTCACTATTGCTTACCAACTCGTCCCTAGAATTTCCCCGGCGTCTGACATAACAAACACTGTATGAGTATTAGCTGTAGGAAGCAAGGGATCTACTGATGACGACCTTGTCCTGGATGAAGCAGCCGTCATCAGTCTGGCATGATCCCACAGGGCCAGCCCGCTTTTCTACGTCAGACACTGAGATGTCTCACCTGTCCCGACTCAAAACGAGGTGTGAGCCTTTCTAGAAGGTCGCTGTTGTGGCACCGAAGTTGACTCTCTCCAGCCCTTATCTGCAGGTTTCCTTTGTTTGACTACAACTTTCCATTTCTGAGAAGCTCTCTCCTTCAGCCTAAGGAGGAAATATCAGTCCCCTGGCCCGTCTTAAGTAAAGGTTTCTGTCCATTGTTTGTGTGTGCTCTCGGTGCCCAGGCAGCAGGCCATGGCCAGATGGAACCAGTGAAATCTCACTCAGAGACAGTGTGGGGAAGTAGGAGCCCGGACTCAAGATACCCCAAGAGCCTAAGGGAGTTGTTCCACCCCTCCATTTAAGAAAAAGAGTCAGGACTTTGGAACCCTTCTCCTAAGTCCCTTCCAGGAAGGGGCTGTGGGATTCCTGAGCTGAAGAGAATCTTTCACCATGCTTCCTTCACCACAGGACTTCTCTGAACCTCCAGCATGTTCTCCTAAGAGAGACCTTTCCCAGTCAAGAAACCCTTTATCACCAGGTGGTGGTTTTGCAGGCCTTTAATCCTGGAGGCAGGTGAATCTCTGTGAGTTTGAGGCCAGCCTAGTCTACAGAGCGAGTTCCAGGACAACCAAAGTCACAGAGAAATCCTGTCTTGGAAAAACAAACAAACAAACAAACAAACAAACAAAAAACCTTTATCCCAGAGTGTGCCAATGTGCTGTGTGCATGATGGAGCTTTCAGCTGAAGACATCTGCAGCCCTGGGGTTCTAGCAATTTTCTCTGTGCACCTTTTTGGGGGACAAACTTTTAGGATGTCAGATTCAGTGAGGATCAGCACCCTACGAAGAAACACTCTGTTTCCAAGGCCTTGCTAGTTCCCACAGTTGAAAGCACCAGGAGAAACTGGATGTCTAGGTGCTCCAGCCTCCCTCCTAGAAGCAAGAGAGGCCCACAAGCCCTCCCCACATGCTCCAAGGATAAATTAGCCAGCCTGTCCATTTGGTTACACTCAGTGAATAGGTTCCTGGGGAACAGGGTGCAGAGAATGCTCACAGAGCTGGTGTAAGTCACAATGTTCTTTATTGACAACAGAACGGCTGCGCCGGGGACTGTGTATAATATCCATCACTTCCACCAAGGTGGGGAAGATACTGTAGGGAATCAGAGGACGGCAGATGCGGTCACAGCAGAACAATCACAGGCACAGAATGGCACCAGGGAGAGGGACATTTGTAATCTTCACATGGGCTTCCACCAGGATCTAATGGAAGAGCCAGGGCTTCCAGCCTTCCAGGAAAGAGGGTGGACTGCTGGGGGATGCTGATTTGTGGGGGGAGCAGATGAAGAGAGGTGCTCTGGGGTGGCCGCACTGCTGGCAAGCTCTTTATTTGGAGTAGAGCCTGGAGGGCTGAGAGAGATCGACACTGCCACCTCCATTGCTGCCTGAGCTGAGTCCTCCACCACAGACTCCACGACTACCCCTGGAGGCGTGGCCAAAGCTGCTGCCACCATTAAAACCACTGCTACCAAACACACTGCCAAATCTACTGCCATTACTGCTTGCCAGGTGAACATCACTTCCTGTGCCTTGTCCAATACCAAAGACACTTCCGTAACCACCACTTGACAAGGCCAAGGCACTACTGCTGCTGTTGCTGTTGACTGCAGCTGTGGGGAAAACAGGACAGCAGTCAGCACCCTGGCATCCACTCCACTGAGTTATACATGAGCCACCAGACCCAGGAAGATCGGCAGTGATCATGAACATTAACTGGGAGACACCACACATCAAGTCAATTCAAATAACAAAATGATTCCTTGTATATGCCATCAACTCTACTGTCTGTCTGTTCTGTCTGTCTGTCTGTCTGTTTTTTGAGTCAGGATCTCACTACGTAGCCCTGGCTGGCCTTGAACTCTCTGCCTCTCAAGTGCTGGGCTTGAAGGCATGTATATCATCACACCCTGCCATCAGCTCTCTTCTTTTGTGCTGCTCGGGATTAACCCAGGGCCGCGTCCATGCTGGGTTCTACCTCTGAGCCACATCCCCAGCCCAATATAGTCAATCCTTAATGACACCTGTGAAGGTCACCCAGCATCAGAAATTTTCCCCACTGGCCATTTGAAAGTGGCCTGAAGGCTATAAGATGGCTCAGGAAGAAAGGGGTCTTCCTGGCGAGCCTGACAGCCTGAGACACCTCGTGATGCAGAAGACATGACTCCCACAAGCTGTTCTCTGACTCTCAATCAGGCATGTGCACTCACAGACACACATAAAATACATAAATACTAAAAAAAAAATCATAACTATATATAGGAGGAGCCCAGAACAAAGAGAAGAACTAGTCCACTGGCCTTCCATCCCCAGAATGTCCCTGTAACTTCCATAGCAACTAGGCAGGACAGTTTTATAAAAGTCAACTTGACACGAGCTAGAGTCATCTGAGAGGAGGGAGTCTCAACTGAGAAATAGCCTCCACAAGATCAGGCTGCAAGCAAGCCCGTGGGGCGTGTTCTTAATCAGTGACTCATGAGGAAGGGCCCAGCCCATGGTGGGTGCGGCCATCCCTGACCTGGTGGTCCTTAGTTCTATAAGAAAGCAGGCTGAGCAAGCTATGGGGAGCAAGCCAGTAAACAGCTCCTTTCCATGGCCTCTGCATCAGCTGCTGCCTCAGGTTCCTGCCAGGCTTGAGTTCCTGCCCTGGTTTCCTTCCGTGATGGACTGTGGATGTGGGTAAGCCAGATCAACCCTTCCCTCCTCAACTCTCTTTAGTCATGGTGTCTTATCATAGCAGTAGTAACCCTAACAAGACAGGAACTGTTCTAAGTTAGTTTCTACTTCATGTATTAGTACAGATGTTTTAGAACCAGGCTTTCTTGTGATAACTTGGGCTACTCACAGATGCTGACAGCACTCTGGTACCCTCCGGACATTCTGTTTGAGAAAGCAAAAAGATGGGTCCATCACAAAGTAGTCTGCAGCAAGGCCATGGTCAAGGTGATAGCTAGTTACTATAACTGAACTCAATGGCCCCGGGCAGCTTCATCCACACAGCTGTGTGTCGCAGCAAAAAAAGCTGTGTACTCTGGTTGCATATACCCCTGGGCTACCATGGAGGGAGTGGACTGGAGAGACAAGGGCCAAGGGATGAGTTCTTTGTGGCAGGCCTCTGCTGCTACTCACTTGGTTACTTGTGTAGTCCTCAGGCTATGACACAGATCAGGAATATTAGAAGCTCACCTGTACTCAGCACCCTTCAGCAGCTGGCGGTAGGCAGCGATCTCTGTATCCAAGGTTATCGTGACATCCAACAGTTTCTGCTAGTCTCTCCGCAGCCTGACAAGGTCATCTTTGCCCTTCTTCAGGGCAACCTGTGAGTCTTGAAGCTTGGTGTTGGCATCCCTGAGGGCTGTCTCCCCATGCTGCTCAGTTTCTGTGATGGATGTCACCAGCTTTTCGTTCTGGGGTCAGTGAGGGGAGTGGGTAGAATGAGCCCAATAGGGTAGTTCCAGGCTCTCTGCAACTTAGAATGGACTAGCCCATATTAAAGTTGGGGAAGGATACCCTTCCCCTGGTTATCTTTATCTTCTCTATCCATGGAAACATTTTCTCACTGTTAGCCAACCTTTTAGATGAACTTAGTCTTTGAGCTTCCCAGAGAGCCATCTATCTTCGAAAGTCCCTTCTTGGAGGGACTTTCCAGGCAATAGCATCCAAACCATCCCACCTGCTTTTTGGCATTCTCCACCTCTGCCTGAAGCCTCTGGATGATCCTACTGAAGTCTTCCATCTGGTCGTTGATGCTCCTCAATTCCTCTTGACGCCTGCCAGCTGTGCTCTGGAGCTCCCCCAACTAGGCAGCAGAAGGGAAGAAGGAACGCTAAACACATCTGTGCCTAACCAGTTTCTATACCCCATGCCACCCACCAAACTTAGAGGTGCCAGTAAGCTTTTATTAAAATAATATTCAATAAAATTTTAATGAACCAAGCAGAGGCATCCCGAAGGCGGCAAAGAAGAAGACATCTTGGCTATTGTATTAGATGATTCTTCCGTGAGTAAACTAGAAATGGTCCCATAGAGCCTGGGAGGAGACAGTGTTAAACTTTGTGCAACAAGCAACCATCAAACTCCAGAAGACAGACAAATACAGATTTATCTAGGGACCCCTCCACAGCTGTCTCACAGGCCAGAGCTTCCTTGACTCCTAGTGAAGCCCATGAGAGGTAACTGATACCCACCTTGGTCTGGTACAGCAGCTCAGCCTCTACCTTGTCCCTCTGGGCAATCTCTTCAAACTGGATACGGATCCCAGAAATGATGCTACGCAAGTCCAGGCTGTGGTTGTTGTCCATGGAGAGGACCATAGATGTGTCATTGGCATGGTCCTGGAACTGGGATAAGTCCTGCCAACACAGAAGGGGCTCATTCAGTTTCGGGGCCTCAGGGCCACGACAACTGCCTCCTAACAACAATCCCATTCCCTGACCCTTAGCTCAGAATGCATGTGTGGCCCAGCCTGCCCCAGACATTCAGAGAGCCACAGTCTGCAGTCCATCCTGCTGAGCAGCTACAAGGGGCTTCACCTCTAGGCTCATCCACAGTCTCCCAGGCCGAGCACCAAAAGTACCAGGTTCACATCTGAAAGCATCACCTCTCTCTCTCTCTCCTGCATCCTCACCTCAAAGAGATTCCTCAGAAAACTGATTTCTTTTCTTAGAGTATCCACATTGGCCTGAAGCTTCATCTCGGTCATGTGGGCAGATTCCACACTCTGAGAAAAACAGGAACACAAAGGCCTTATTACCCCCAAACTGAGATTGCAACAATTGGGCTTGGAGAGGGTGGGGAGACCTGGCTGTGCCAACACAGACGGTTCTCATTCATAAGCGGGCTCCACATAAAGGGTGCCTCCTATCTCACAGGAATGGGATGAGGACAGTCAAGAGTTCAGGACCAGTGGACTGGTTCCTAAGGGCCTTCAGAAGAAGCTCCTGGCTGCTGAGCCTGACAGGAGAGCAATGGACCTTGCCTTCCAGCTGGGACCCTGTGTGAATAAACCAGGAAGTGCTCTGTCGTCCCTACCTTCTTCAGAGCCGCGGAGTCATTCTCAGCAGCTTTTCTTTTATTGATTTCTTTCTCATATCTGTAAACATAAAAGTGGACTTGCTGGGTTTATTTTGTTTGGGATGGTTTTGGTTTGTTTGGGGGGGGGTATACATATTATAATACGTGGTGGAAGCCACAGCACACATGGAGGTCAGAGAACAGCCTTGACCCATCTTTTGACCCTCTATACCTTGTATGACACAGATTCTCTTTTGGTTTGCAGTTGTGTATCCCAGGTAAGCTGACCCACAGGTTTCCAGGGGTCCACCTGTCTCCACCTCCCATGTCACCACAAGATCACTGGTATTATAGACACATGTCACTGGCTTTTATGTGGCTTCTGGGGATCCAAGCTCCAGCCCTCATGTTGGCATGGCAAGTGTTTTATGGCAGAGCCATCTCCAACACCACCGCTCTCTGTCCCCACCAGCCTGACCTTTCGGGTGAGGGCCTCCTCTTCACTGCCTCTGAGTTAGTGAAGGGACCCAGTCACACCAGTCTGCCCGGAAAAACTGTCCTGGTTTTAGCTCTGAAAGTTCTGCATTCCAGGAAAGCCTCCATTCCAAACCTCCAGGTCTACAAATTGCCATCCCTCGAGCTTCCTCAGAATCTTTCACATCCTAGAACTAGGAGCCTCCTCAACCTGGCTCGTGAGGAAGTGCTTCCTCTCTAATAAGCCTATCTCTCTTGCAACGAGTTCTCTGTCTAGACTCTGTCTATGCTTGGAGAAAGAAGGTGCCAGCGACCTCATGACACCCCCCGCCCCCCGTGCACATGAAAGGAAGACATTGCTGCACAGCAGTCGGAAAGAACTCGGGCAGTACCAAGACTCTGGGAGGGGTGGCCCCTGCTATCTTCTTGCTCCACTTGTCACTCACTTCTTTGTGTAGTCTGCCACTGTGCCCTGCAGATTCCACAGCTCTGCATCCAGGTGGCCTCTCTCCAAAGTGATGTCATCCAAGTCACCTTGCAGAGAGCTGCTAAGAAGCGAGAGTCAAGGCTTGGGAGGGAACTGGGGCCCTGCTGCTGGAGCTGCTTCCATGTGGCCTCCAGGGTCTTGTTCTGTCGTTCCACGAAACGTGCCTACAGGACAGAGGGCAGCAATGATAGGCAGCGCTGCAGAGCCGTGGAGACCTTCATTAGTTAGTACAGGTTCCAGGTCCGCCTGCTCCAAGGCAGATGTGAAGCTGGGCTCTTCCTACAGCTGTACAAACTGTGGCCAGGTAGGTCATCACCCAGGGCATTGAGTAAAACACAGTTTGAAAAATCACAGAGGAAGAGTCCCCACACACAAGATAAGGACATGTAAAGGGAACCCCTTGATTTTCTGGGAACTTTAACATGATCCTGACTCCCCAAAATACAGTGCACTCTGCAAAACCACTCTGCAGCAGTGTTTTTATCACAGAATCCAGGGCCACCGCAGCCCTCCAGGCTACAAGCCACTAAGAACATCCCCTAGTTGACATATCCATCAGCACAATGTCACTTCTCTTCAGCTTAGAGCGGAAACGGCCCCAAGTAAGCTATACCAGGCTAGAGTGAGCCACAAAGTGGGTCACAACCTTCTATGCTAGGTTGAGTCGAGGTGCACAAACTTCCCGCAGCCTCCCGAGACTAGGGGTCAACTTCGAACTCTCTAAATCTTCCTGGACATCAGACACTTGGTGGGCACAGCAATTCGGAGAGAAAGGACATCATGAAAAGCCTCAAAGGGTGATTTAAATTCCCAGTGCTTTGGTTCCAGGTCAGAGCCTTCTTGGCCAATGATGCCCTAGACTTGGGTTCGGCAGACCCAGACCTACACAAGGCTCCGGGAGGGAGACTTGAGCAGAAGTTCAGACAAGCAGCACAGGGTGTTGTTTGGGTCTTGCCACACCTGTGCACATCCTACCTGACTAAAGCAGCAAAAGCGTCAGTCCTGAATATCTTCCCTCCTATCTTCCTTCCTAGGCTCTGCCTAGGCCCTCACCCTCGAGCCTGGTCCATGCAGACACATTTAAACCGTGTCTAAATAAAAATCTCAAAGTCTCTAGGAATGGGAGTCAGAATTGCATTACCTTGTCAAGGAAGCAGGCGAGCTTCTCGTTGAGGGCCTTGATGAGTTCACTCTTTGACCTTCATTTTCACAGTCTGGGTGTTGGTCTCCACATTGAGGGGCTGCAGGAGGCTCTTGTTGATGGTCACTTCCTGAATTATCCCAGGGCCAAAGATTCTAGGTCTACCAAAAACACCAGCCAGTCCAAAGTCACCAGGTCTCCCGATGCCACCTCCCATTCCTCTGCCACCACCAAAGCCATCCCCAGAGCCAGTGTCATAGCTTCCCAGAAGGCCACCGAAGCTACCAGTCTGAGAGCCACCAGCTGCCACACTGACAGAGACTGGCCTGCCACTACCCATGCCGAATAACATTCTGCTCCCAAAAGCAGATCCTCCACTCTGAGTCCCATAAGCCTTTACACTGGCTGCCCCAGAGCAAGCTATATAGTTCTTCCTGGTGCTGCCAAATTCCACAGCTGACCAGCAGGAGAAGCCCTGGCTCCCACCATAAGGTGTCTTATAGACTTGCCTGATCATGGTGAGGAAGCTGGTGACAGACAAATATGCAGAGCAATCAGGGACACTAAGATTGGGCAGAAGAAAGCAGAGGAATAAAGGTCTGGAGAGAGTGAGTCCCTTTATATGCATCTGACCAAGGAAGGGACAGAAAATTCATCCCAAAAGCTTGTGTTCCCAGCCACAAAGCACACCTTGAAGCTAAGTGAATGTCCAAGTAGCAGGCTTTCCTGGCAGGGCTCCACCCCCATGCACAGATAATTCATCCTAAAAGCTTGTGTTTCCAGCCACAAAGCAGCCTTGAAGCTAAGTGAATGTCGTGTACAGCCCTTCTCAGTTTAACCACACAGGGGCCAAGAGGCCCTTGAGCGGGGAACGGGGAATCTGCTTTGGTCTGTCTACCCACCAGAGCAGAGCTCAGCTCGGGGAAGGTGAAGCCAAAGAGTAATGGGTGCTCCGGCTCACTGAGTAAGGAAGGTGGTAGAGCCCACTCTGTCCTGGAGACTGGGATCCATAAATAGTGGCAGTATTTACGCCAGTTAGGACCTGATTGCTATGTGTGCACCGTGTGCCTGGCTTTGTGCTGAATTTGGAGACAAAATACTAACCCTGTCACTTCTCTTTCCTAAAGTCAAAGTGGAGAACCAGTATCATCTATCTGACCCCGGCTCTCCCCCCTCCCAGCCTCAGTGCAGGAGGCAGGAGATGTGTGGCTTATAACCATCTTCTAAGGACAAAAACTTCGAAGTTCACAAGATCTCTGCATCGTTTAGACCTAGGCGAAACCCAACACTACAAATATGTGTTTGTCTTACTTACTTCTCAAATTACAGACATCACTCGGGGTTTTTCTAAGCTTCCTATCTTGTTCCTTATGTTATGTCATTCTTCTGGTGTCAATAAAAGTCCCAGAATCAGGAAATATCAAATTAATTCAACAACAACAACAAAAATCAGGGCCAAAACCTAGGAAAACCCTGCTTATGTAAGTTCATGCTTCAGTAGAGGACAGACAGTAGACAAAGACACACGACACATCCACCAGGGAGGAGCGATGCTATGCTAGGGCAAGGCATAGGAACACCCTTTAGAGGCCGCAATAAGGGGTCATGAGTTCTAGGTCAGTAGGGGTTACGTAGCAATACCTTGTCTAAAGGAAAGTGGAAGAGGAGGACAAGGAGAAGGAAGATGAGGAGAAGGAAGATCAGTGAGAGGAAGAGGAGGACAGGGAAAGGAGGAGGAGAAAGAAAAAGAAAAGAAGGGGAAGAAGCAGAAGAAGAAGAAGAAGAAGAAGAAGAAGAAGAAGAAGAAGAAGAAGAAGCAGAAGAAGAAGAAGAAGAAGAAGAAGAAGAAGAAGAAGAAGAAGAAGAAGAAGGCGGCAGTTGTGGAAGAAGTGTAGCAATAAAATGTTGGGGTGGAGAATGGCTCGTGGTAAAGGGTGCCTGTTGCCCTTGCAGAGGTCTCTGATTAAGTTTCCAGCACCACATGGTGGCTCATAGCCGTCCATAGCTCAAGTTCAGAGGATCCTACTTCCATCATCTGATCTTCATGGGCACCAGGCATGCACATGGTATTCATAAATACAAGTAGACAAAACATTCATCCACATAAATAAATCTACAAAGGAAAAAGGAGAAGTATGCTAAGGGGAGTATTACACGGAGTTGTTTTGTGGAGCTGTCCAGTAAAGGTAGTGAGGAGCAAGCATCCAGAAGAAAGGAACCCCAAAACATAGAAATCCATGAGTGCCCTGAGGTGGAGCTGTGGAGAATGTCTGAAGGGTCAGCAATTGAAGCCATGAGAGTGAGCGGCAGGCCTCTAGGATGAGATCTGAGTAGCTGGGAGGCAGGTCACACAGGGCCACATGAAGCTGGCTTTTTCACTGAGTGGGAAGTCACTGAGGTTAAGCCAAAGAGACATGAGTAAGGCATGAGCAGGCATTAAAGGATTCACTCGACAGACTACAGGAATCAAGGGGGAATAGGTGAGAGCCACTCCCCTCCTTCCTTTTGTCTTATTCTGCAAAACTGACTTCCACTGCCTCCTGCAGGGATGAGCTGGGAGAGCTACACAGAAAGCATTCTTCAAAGTTCCCTGTGTTAAGGCCATTGCCCTGAGCTGGAGCCTGCCCAGTGAGGTCCTTGTGGTTGAAGGTGTGCTGAGTGCTGAGTCTGAAACTCCAGCAGACCTTGCCCCTGAGGAGTTCTTCAAGGGCAGAAACACAGCCTCACCCTCTCAGGGGGTTTGGAAAAGACCTTAGAAACTTATTAGCTACATTGTTGAAACAAAAAGAAAGGTGGAGGTAGAAAGATCTTGATGCAATCATTTAACCTAGAGAAGAGGGATTTAAAAGAAAATCTACATTTATTTTTTTTCATGAATTATTTGTAATGATCTGTCTCTACCAAAGAACTGAGGGAGGGGGAATTCAGCTGAGCCTAGCATGGAGGATGTGATTGTTGGTCGGAAGGACTCCAGTGGCCATGGTCACTGGAGTGGTCTAAAGAGATTAAATCAGCTATCTGTGCATGTAGATGGTACTGGAAATGTTGAAATATTGTGAAGAACAAGGAACACTTCTGTTAGTAGACAAAGGGGGTGACAAGACACCTCTTAATCCAGAGAGTGAATAAGAGTGGAAAAGAGACGAAGAGAGCAGCCACAGACTCAGGTGACAGCTGCAGAGGAGAGGTGCTCATGCCAAAGCAGGACCTGGGCCTCCAGGCCAGTCTGTGGAGCCCTCCCCTCTCTCTGAGCTTACTGTTCAGACACCTTGGTCTGAGCTTTAGTCTTAGGACATAAGTCCAAGCCTCAAACACGTAGGACAATCAGCCAACTTAGAGTCCTCGGCAGCCTGGCTTCTGTCCTTGCCCTCATCTCCAGGAGCACTAAATCGATTTTGGCTTAGTCACACTCTGCCCTGAACCACATCAGGAAGCCTCCACTCTGGTGTTCCTGATGCTGGGAAGCCCTTCATCCTTGGGCCCTTCCCCAGCTCCAAGTCCACACCCCTTTCACCTGGCCCCTTCCTTGGCTTCTATATCTAGACAAAGGTCACTTCCTCCAAGGGTCTTCCTTGATCCCTAATCCATGGTGCTTCCAGATCCTTGGTGATATCTACCATGGCTCTCAACACCCTCTTAAATTCTGGAACTCCTGTGGGGAATACATCTGTCCCAAAGCCCTGCTCCACACTCAGCCCCATCTCTCATGAGCTGTCTGTCCTTGTGGCCAACACAGAAAGGGCATTCACAGATTGCATCACCAAGGGAAACCTCTGTCCCCTGGAGCCCATGGGTCCTGCATCAAACAAGGGGAGAACTCTAGGAGACGGGAGAGAAGCTGTCACCTGCCAGGGCACTGCTCAGAGAAAGGATTGTATTCAAAAATCCAGCCAGAGAAGCCTAAAGGAGACCCAGCGCTAGTGTTCCGCACAGTGCAGCCCATCCACAGACTTCCTGAAGAAAAGGCTTCTCTGGGAGTCCTTGAGAATCTTGCTGGGAGAGCACTTACCCCTCCCTGACATTCTGGCCCTTAAATATCCTCTCTTTTCTGGTGTTCCAAGCCCTCTTCCAAGACAGGAAGTCATCTCATCTTCCCCTGGACAGCCATTATTTTTGGTTTGTGGCTCCCAATGGCACTCAGCTCTTTGGCCACCAAGTCACTGAGATATAGGTATGACCATCTATACCAAAACCTCCCCAAAGACTCATCTAATCCCTTTTGTATTGGGGTCCCCATTGCCCAGCACAGGCTGGGCATTCAGACAATGGCGGTTTGTTGGGTCATTCCATCACCAACTATTAAAGAGCCACTAAAGGGCAAACATACAGAAATGGACATCACGATGAATCCAGGCAGGGCTTCCAGGCTGCTTGCTGAAATGATGAACGGATGGGTGGGTGAATAGGTGGATAGATGGGTGATTGGCAGGTGGCAGTCAAAAGCGTTTCTCTGAGGCCCAATGCGGTTGTGCACACCTTCAATTCCAACACTCAGAGGCAGAGGCAGGCGGATCTCTGAGTTCAAAGTCAGCCTGGACAGTCAGAGCGACACAGAGAAACCCTGTCTTAAAAAAATAAATAAATAAAAATAAACCAAAACTTTTTATGGAGAGCTTCTGCCTATCTTTAGCTTTCTCTGACTTCTCCTTTGAATCAACCCTGTAGCAATGCAGGTCGGTGCAGGTGCAGGTGCAGACATGAGGTCAGGCCTGGGTCCCGGGCGTCCAGCCCCCACCAAGGCTTCCTGGCCACACTCCTGTCCTCACAGGCCTCCCTTCAGGGATAGAGTTCACTCCCAAATTTAACATGCCAAAGGCTCTGAATAGGTGCCATCGTCCTCCTCCCCTTGGCCCCCCTTTCCCTGGCCAGGCTGCAGGACTACTGAAAGCAGAACAAGTTCATTTTTTTTCCCTTCTTCCTTTCTTCCTTTTTTTCTCTCTCTGGTTTTGTTATTGTTGTTTGTTGGTTGGTTGGTTGGTTGGTTTTTGAGACCAGGTCTTTCTATGCAGCCCAGAGAGGCCTGGGACCTTCAACGCTGCGTCTTCTCAGCTTCCTCGGCATAGAAATTACAGTATGTACCACCACTTCAGCTTGTCCATCCTCTTTTATGAAAGACAGGAGTCTTGTGTAAACAAAACACCAAGACTCTCACATCAGTTGCCTCTTCGTGTAGCCCCACTGACCCTAAGACACGCTTGCATCTCATCTATAGCTGCCTCGGTAGGCCGGAGTACTAGCTGCCCCCGCAGAGACCAGGCAGACCCTAGAGCCCATTGGTGTCCACTCCCACGCTCCCCTTGAACAGCAGCGTGAGGAGAAGGGCTAAAGTAGCCTGCGATCTTCTGGTAGGAGAGTCGGAGCTTTGACCTCACTCTCAACCCTTAACCCTCCTCCTCACCCCAGAAACTCAAAAAAAGAGCTGAGCTGGCATTTTCCCAGGGACAGGGTTCAGTGGAGGAAGAAATGGAAGCCACTCAACAGGCTCCCAGGCTGCAGATGCTTCCTGCTCTGACACAC